TGTTCTATAGTCTTAAGTTAGCAGTTAAGGTAGTTAGTTCGCTGTTGAAAAAATCTATTTTTGGTTTGTCAAATTAAACGTTTTTCAAAAACTAAGCAAAATTATACTGTAATACAAAAAAATAAGAACACATAATTTCTAAAGTGGAAACTTAATAAAAAATGGGTAGGTGTTTATAAAATATTGAATAGATAAGTAAAGCTCGTAAAGAACTTAGCAAATAACATTTTAGCAGTTAATTGATGAAAGGCGAAAAAATTACTACGAATAAAAACCATCTAAAAAAATTATCCGATTTAAATTTTTGGGCAGTAAGCGATTCCGTCGAACATTAGTTAATTGTCCTGCCTCAGAGAATTTTTTTTCTGACGGAACAGGAATACTTAAATACATTTGAGCTAATTCATAAAGTTCCGGAAACATATTTTTATTTTTGATCCAAGACTGAAATGGGCATTTTGTTCTGTCCAAATTAGGCAGTTGCAAATATTCCCTTACACTCAACATTGCTGTTGTTGTCGGAGTTTTTTTTTTGAGTTTTTGACCGATTATAATCCTACCTTATATTCATTGTATCATGAGTGTTGTATAGCAAGTATGGATCCTGCTTAATACTGTGCATTAGAAGGACAGCATAAAGATTATAATTTAATTATCTTATTTATAAGGCCGTCAAAATCGTCAGGCCAGTCAGCTGAAAACAATCAGTTTGGTGTCTAATTTTGTTGTTAACAGTTAAACTACATTTCTTTACTACACTGCAAATAAAAAGTACAATCCGGTCCTGGCTTATTTCCTTCTATCGTTTGAAAACAGTTCAATGGCTGAACATCATATTCTTTCAAGGTCAATGAAAACTAGGTAAAAAGTTCAAAGTGCCGCCTCGAGAGTGACGCTGTTGTATAGACTTTATGCTGTGTTAGAAGAAAGGACTGAACAATTACAAAAACATGAAACGAGTTAAAATCACTTTTGTTGCGGATAATTGATTCGTGGTCTTTAAGCAAAACACCCATCGGAAATCGCCAAAAAATCGCCATTCGCCAATTCAGAAAAACATTTGACTCCGCGTTGTTAATTGCAAAGCCACTCGTAGAGGGCGGGAGAGTTGTGCATTTTCTCTCGCTGTTTTAAACAGCGCTATAAGTGCGCTTGTAAAATGTCGTTTCAGTATCGCTTCTCGGCACTATGTGCTAAGATCAAAGTGTAGTATCTGTTCTTATCAGCTTAATATCTGATACGCCCCGCATGCGGGGCCAGTATATTAAACTGATTTTTGGGAATTGACGAAGGTTAGGGGCTTGCTCCACATTTGTCGCGGGTTGGCCTGGTATTGAAGTACCGCCAGGATCAGCCCATTTGAAGCAATTAAACAAAACAGAAACTTAGGGCTTGCTCCACCTTTGTCGCGGGTTCGCCTGGTATTACAGTACTGCCAGGATCGGCCTATTTAATTCAATCTAGTCGTGTTTCGAAAGCGGAATTTTCCACAAATTTTCCGATGCGAATTTCTAAAGCGTTCTTGGATGTCCGGGATAAGGTGCTAATTGTACCATAAACCAGGGTCCGGGAAGCGATCACGCAGTGAGTAATAGTGCTATAGCATTCCCTGTCATTTATCCCCCAACCCCAGTACAAAACTAACTAAAAAAAAGGCACGGGGACCTCAGCAAACATTTGCGCCGCTACCATCTGTCCCGTCTGGTGCCGGGACTGCAATGAGATCTTCGAAACACTAAAACGGTGCAACGCACACCAGATTAACTGCAGTGCCACGCC